TATGACAAAAATATAATAATTTATGAATTATGAAGGGTTCATGAGGGAGGGGGAGGGAGGGGGAAAATGAGCAACTGATATTAAGGGCTAAAGTAGAAGGCAAATGTTTTGAGAATGATGAGGGCAACAAATGTACATATGTGCTTGACACAATGTATGTATGTATGGACTGTGATAAGAATTGTACGAGTCCCCAATAAAATAATTAAAAAAAAAAAAAGAAATGGGTCGGCATGGTTTTGTCTTTGTGAGTGAATACTATTGAAAGTTTTGCCCTATTACCAAAACAAACCAACAAATGAATATTTGAGATACACACAATGGTTTGCGATGAGAAATAGGGCTCTACTTGGTCGTGCACACCAAAATACTGTTCTTACTGTATCCTTGTGTTCAGAATGTCCTTTCTTATGCATCGAACGGTACCCTATCCACCACAATGAACATTTGATGGAGTGCTAAAAGTCATGCCTATTACAAAGGGAACTTCGAGGCCGACTAGGAATGGGACTGCATGCTCTTTGGAATCCTTTGTAATGAATGTCAGGGGGAGGGAATACAAGCTCTCCAGGCTAAGCCACCTGACTGCTCTGATCCCCAGGACTTCCCCTGGTCCTGTCTTTCTGTTTGGAATGCTCTCCACTTGACACAGGTTCATCAGAATCCTGCTGGAACTTCGAGGAATCCTCTAGAGCTACCGCCTTCATGACGCTGACCCGGTTCCCTATCTCTGGATCCAGCCTCTTTGCATTGCCTCTTATTAGTGATGCTTTTATACTTCTGTACAAGGAGCTTTGGTGGCATAGTGGTTATGCATTGGGTTACTACCACAAGGTTAGTGGTTTGAAACCTCCAGCTGCTCCTTGGGAGAAAGATGAGGCTTTTTATTCCAGTAAAAAGTTATAGGGTTATGGGGAGATGAGCCAGTCAGGATGCAGTGTAGCAACGATGGAACATACAACTTTCCTCCAGTTCCTAAATGCTTCCTCCCCGCTTCCTCCCCTCACATACTATCATGATCTGAATTCTACCTTACAAATCTGGCTAGACCAGAGGATATACACTGGTACACATAGGAACTGGAAACACAGGGAATCCAGGACAGATGATCCCTTCAGGACCAGTGCTGACAATGGCGATACCGGGAGGGTGGGTTGGAAAGGGGGAACCGATTACAAGGATCTACATATAACCTCCTCCCTAGGGGATGGACAACAGAAAAGTGGGTGAAGGGAGACGTTGGACAGTGTAAGATATGACAAAATAATAATTTATAAATTACCAAGGGTTCATGAGAGAGGGGGTATGGGGAGGGAGGGGGGAAATGAGGAGCTGATACAAAGGGCTTACGTGGAGAGCAAATGTTCTGAGAATGCTGAGGGCAACGAATGTACAAATGTGATTGACACAATTGATGTATGTATGGATTGTGATAAGAGTTGTATGAGCCCCCAATAAAATGATTTTTTTAAAAAAAATGATAAAAAAAAGAGTTACAGTCTTGGAAACCAGCAGGTGCAGTTCTACTCTGTCCTATAGGGTCACTATGAGTTGGAATTGACTCGATGGCAGGGCGTTTCTGGAGGTTTGTTTTCTTTCACATTCTGTATTTATCTATCTCATTTCTTCACTTAGATGCTGTGTTTCAGAGAACTTAGAGCACATCTTATTCTTCATGGCATTTCCCCAACACCTTCTTCGATACACTGTAAGTATGTAGGAAATACTTGCATAATACAAAATGAATTACACAGTGACACAGCATGAACTTGTCAAGTTAGCAATTGAACCTCTTGAATGTGTCTACACGGAAAGCAAGGAAGCAGAAACCTACTGCTCCTAACTCACCTTCCTCGTGGTTCTGGTGCAGTATGACCTCCGGCTGCGTGTGGATAGAGTTTCCCGGGTGGAAAAATGGAGAGAAAAGGATTCGAGGTTTCCTCTGCTTCAGAAGATGCTGAAGGAGTTCATAGAGCACATCACCTGGGAAGGAAAAGCACACAAGAGACATGGGAATGCATTACACAACAAGGACTTGCTGTGCACCATGCTGCTCTACGTCTGGCACTGTGCTGAGGATACGGCAGTGATCCCAACCGGCTGCTGAGGTCCGTGGCGTGGACATAGGGGCTGGGAACTCAAAAGACCACAGCAAGGCGATCTTCCCATCCAGCCTTTGTATTGATGAAGGGAATATTCCTTCCTGGTAAAAACCTGGAGAATGCAGCCAGCCAGGAAGAAAACAAGAACCACCACTAACCCATCTCTAGGAGGGAGAAACCCATTGCCATGGAGCCAATGCTGTTTATGGGAGTAGAAAGCCCAGTCTTTCTCCGGAGGAGCTGCTGGCGGGTTTGAACTATTGACCATGAGGATCGCTGTCCCATGTGTAACCACCACACCTCCAGGACTCCATAGCACAGCATCCATAGTTACATGAATACAATTGGAATCAGACGTCTAGTTTAACAGCTTACTCTCCTTTCTCTTCCCTCCCATGTTCGGTTCTGAAGATTTTCTCACGTTACTGAGTGGCTTCAGTCACGGCACGATAACGGCCCATCGCAGGGATGGATGCGACTTCACGGGAAGTTTAAGTTGTCTCAATTTTTGCTATGTTTTTCTTGGCACGTGTATCTTTGTCTTGCATTTGAAACTGCTTGAAGAATTATTAAGCCATTAAGTGTGAACATTCTTAACGTTTCACCGACAACACGAGGAGCCCTGGTGGCACTGCGAGTTGAGCACTGAGCTGCTAATCGAGAGGTCTGGCCCATAGGAGAAAGATGCGGCCATCTGCTTTTGCAAAGATCACTGGCCTTGGAAACCCTGTCCCATAGGGTCGCAGTGAGCCAGGGCGGTGGGCTTGGTGTTGGATTTATGGACAACTTCCCATTCATCTTGCACCTCAAGCCAAGCGAGACGAGAATCAACACGAGACGCCTGGTCAGCAATGCTCCCTGTGGAAGATGCCCGAGAGGGAGCTGGCACATGCTGGGATGCTTCCCTCCTTTTCAAACACATACAGGCACTTCTCCAAGGTTCTCCAACCTCGAGAAAGTCATCTCCAGACGCCAGCCCCTTTGCGGGAGGCAGGAGGCATGCACCCTGCTCTGATATATGCATTTCGTACTGCAAGTGTCCACTGAATACACACACACACACACACACACACACACACACACACACACACACACACACACACACACACGCAGACCCTGTCAAGGTCTTATCCCACCCCTTTGGCTGAGACCCAAGTTCAAAATGCAGGTGGGTGCCTCGAAACCCACTTCGGGCTGGGTGAATAATCCTTCAAATACCACAGGCTTCTTTCTGACTGTCCCCCCCACTCTGCCCACCCCCTCAAGCAGTCAACAATTGTACCTCACAATGGGCCTTCCACACTAATTTTAGCCATTTTTTAACAGATCATTTAATTAACAACTTAATTTAACTGCATATTTAAGGCTCTCGATACAGCTTTATTATTATTTTTCCTTTTAAACTCAGCATGAGCCTCAGAAATGTTCCATATTCATTTCGTTCTTTCTACGAACCCAGATCTCCACAGATCTCCTATCCTAATTACTATTCTAAGTAATTCCTGGGGGGACCCCATGACTTCACTTGGACTTTTCTCCTGCTTTTCCTTTTGGATTTTGGTCGTAATCCAGACTTCCAAGGAGTCTTGGAGGCACAGTGAGGTATGCACTGCACCTCGGACCACAAAGTCAGCAGTTCAAGCCCGCCAGCTGTGCTGAGGGATTAGGATGAGGCTGTCTGCTGTGGTCAAGTTGTGTCATCTCAAAAGCCGTTCAGGAGGAGTTCTACTCTGCCCTTAAGGGTCACGATGAGTCAGAATGGTTTTAAATGGGAGTGGATTTGATTTTTTTCACAAAATTAATTATATTGGACGTATTTACTGTACAAAATTAAAAAAAAAAAACCAAACCAATTAAAAGTTGAAGACACGGTACCACTTAGGCCCTTTGTTACAAAGGAAACAGGCCGTCAGCCACGGCGCTGTTCCGGATTGGGTAAGATGTGCAGCGGAACTTCCTACCGAGCCTGAGCCTAGCACACACGGTGAGTACCGTTTTAGATCTGGGATGGGCTTCAGGACACATCCAACCCAAACTAGTAGTCATGGTGATGCGGTCTCTGAGGAAACACGGACGTGGCGCCTGAAATACAGTCCTATTTTAATCTTTTGCACAACGCAGCCCCCTTTCAACCCTCGGTCTCGTGTGGCTTGCTGGACCCCCATCCTGGACTTTTCCTGGCCGCACAGACAGCCTCGTGCTGGTTGGGTCCTCTCCTGCGGGCTTGATGGAGGTTTTCTCTCGGGGGTAAGCAGGGCAGAGAAGGACAACACGCAAACATGCGGGCCCTGGTGATTATTATTCCAAAAAGAGGTGTTCAGTAATTAGCGTGTCCCTTTTGGAAGAGCAAGCCAGGAAATACAAAGTTAGTCCTGTGAGGGGGCAGCTCTGAGCATTTCCAGAGGCAAGTCGGTGTGTTCATGGTGAAGGGCGGAGAATGCAGGGGTCCCGCTGGGATAAAGCCCCCAAACCCGGGTACCAGCTTGACCGTTAGCTTGTCTGAGTGCTTCTGCGAGCGCCCACAGTAACGTCCACCTCCTACGGGGCCATGGCCATCAGCCAATGAGGGGGGCTGGGAAGCATCATGGGGGGCTGCACCCTCCCCTGCCCTCTGGAGGGTGTGCAGCTGGGCCTGGAGAAACTGGTGGGATGGGGGTGAGGGCAGTGGGTTAGAGATGGGCAAGCCCTTTTCTTTCCCATGTTTCCATTTCGCCGCCAGGGCATAGAAAGTCAGGGGACCCAGCAGAAAGGATTCAGCATCTAGGTCAGTGGTTCTCAACCTTCCTCACACTGTGTCCCTTTAATTCAATTCCGCATGTTGTGGTGACCCCCCCCCCCCAACCGTAACATTATTTTCGTTGCTACTTCATCACTGTCATTTTGCTACTGATATGAATTGGGCAACCCCTGTGAAAGGGTGACCCCCCAAAGGGGTCGTGATCCACAAGTTGAGAACCGCTGATCTGGGCTCTGGAATTCAATGGTTTCCACTTGAGCCTTATTCTTTAACCTCCCTCCGCCTCAGTTTTCCGCCTCTGTAACATCGCCATGTGGATCGTGCCTATCTGCTGGGGTTCTTGTGAGGACTCAACAAGGGGACTTGTGCTATAAACGTTTCACAGCTGTTGTGGTCACCACGACCAGTACTCATCACCACGATCTCTATTATCACTGGAGTTATCAAAGTCGTGGAGGGTCACTTGTAAATCCCTAAGGAGATCTTGGAGGCAGAGTCACAGGGGGGTAGGTGTCTGGGCCAAAACCAGTGCTGCGTTCTCCTCAGGAAAGGTGAAGCCGGTTTGCTCTGCTGAGGCGGCTCTCTCACCCTGCGTCTCTGGAGACCTCACCCCAATGCCGGGCTCAGCCCACTGTAGGGCTGACATGGGCTGGAGTTTTTACTTTCTCAGGTGTTTGGGGCTGGCTCTCTGCTGCATCTCACCCAGCTGGCAAAGGGAGCCAGGCATAGAAGATTCACCTCCCACCGAGTGCCGTGAACCCAGGAGAGCCAGGAGGAAGGGGCAAACCAAGCTGGTCTCTGTCAGTTCCTTAGCTAAACCATAAGCTGGTCATGAGAACAGGTTAGGGAACACTCGGGAGTGCTGCCTGGGAGCGCTGGCTAGGGGGTGGGAGCATGGGCCCAAAGTTGAAGGTTCTAGGCCAGGGATGAACTGAATTCTAAGACGCTAGACCAGGGGTGGATGAGGAACCTTTTTTTATGCCCAGAGCCATTTGGATATTTATAACATCATTCTTGGGTCATCCTGGCAATCGTTTGATTACTCACCTCTAGTGTGCTGGCTGAAGGAGCCCTTGTCGTGTAGTGGGTATGAGTTGGGCCACTAACTGCAAGGTCAGCAGTTCAAACTACCAGTTACTCTGCGCAAGAAAGACTGGGCTTCCTAATGCCATAAAGAGTTACTGCCTCCAGAACCCACAGTGGCAGTTCTACCCTGTCCTGCAGGGTTGGCATGAGTTAGAATTGACTCAATGGTGGTGAGCTAGGTTTGGTTTTTCCAGTGTGATGGCTGGAACCGCTTCTCTTTGGTCAGGTGTGAGATGTTAGCTGGCACTGCCTACGAGGTCCTGAGGCAGGATGTTCCTTACTCCTCCTGCCATGGACTGCAGAGCTAGGCTGGTCCATTCCCCGACAGGCCATGTGGCTGTCTCAGTGCTGACATTTAAGTTCGGTGGGGAAAACAACTAACTATGCGTGCTCATGTGCGTGAGTCAGTAAGACAGCAGAACCCGTGAGAGCCAGAACCTATGAAAGGTGGACACCTATCAGAGAAGGACAACATCCAGTTACTTTTCACTAAAAGGAGTGATTGAAAGTGATGCGACTGCATCCGTCAAAGGTGGAACACCTGGGGAACCTGTAAAAATATGGCAGCTGAATTCCACCTCTCACAGGTCATCACTGTTTAAATGATCAGAAGAGTCTGGAATCTTAGTCCTAGAACAAGATCCTAAAGGCTCTTTTAGATTGACTCAGACTTCTGTTCCATAAATGTTTCCTGTCTCCCTAACCCAAGCAAGAGGGAGTTGTGGCTGAGCACTCCTAGGGACAGGCATCTTGCCAGAGCAAAATACTCACACTCAATTCTTGGCCGATGTACCAAACATGCAGCCACTGCCTGCCTGTCAATGGATGCTTGACTATTGCTGTGCTGCTGCACAGGCTTCAGCAGAGCTTCCAGACTAAGATGGGCAGGAAGAGAGGCCTAGGGACCCTCTTCTGAAAATCACCCAATGAAAACTCTATGGCTTCTAAGGGGCTGATACCAGCTGATTGCACAGGGGGCACGGGATCAGGCATCACTTTGTTCCACTGTGCAGGGGTCTGTCATGAGTGGGGTTGACTCGGTGGTAGCGAACAACAAC